AACAAAGTGCTGTTCACACTGGCGCTTGTCATCCATAAAACTTTTGTCTTCTGTGGGGGTGTCATTTTAACATTTCTGAATGACAAAACTTTTGTCATTCAATTACTAGTATAAACATAGCCGAAAGTACTTAAGTACTTTTGTGGAGCTGGGCCAAAGTTCATTTGGCTTAGCTTCTAATAACATTACTAATCAATGAAGCTAAGGTAAGGATAAGAAACAATGTTTTTACCAACTGCAGATAAGAGGAAAACAAAGGGCAGGCCATTTCAATTAGTAAAGCCTGCCATTGTTTGAGCTAGTATTCTATATTAAGCATTAATGGAATGACATTAAAATGGGACTTGTCAGCACTGAAATCTATTAGACATTTACAAAAATTAGACTGAACAAAACAACAGAAAATACCCTTGTCGGGAAGAATAGTCCTGTGCTAAGTGGGGTGAGAGGCAGGGAAGGAGACGCGCTAGAATAAGCTAACATGTCTTTAATATATGTGAGAGACCAGTCTGAACAGAAGAGATTTTACATTGTTTACAGGAGTTTAAACATTTTTATGATATACTTCATTGTAAGGGGGAATTAAAAACAAAAATACAACAGTTTCCTCTTGGCCAAAATCCAAATCAGAGGCAAAATCATTTCCAGCCTAATGCAAAGAGCTTTCTGCACCAGACACAAAGGCAAGAACCAATAGCTGTAATGGAATGATGCTTCCTGGATCTTGCCCTGGCTTGCTGTAATTTCTCTCTGAGGCTAAAGTTATAAGACATTACCTGCTTCAATTAAGTCTCAGTTATTCCTGACTAATTCCACAGGCCATCCCATGCAAAGCCTCCACCCTCCATAAAGTTCTTGCTGCTCAGGCTCGAATAAAATTCTTCACAGCACTCCCTTCTTACAAAGCATTCTGTGGGGAATTAACTCTCCACAGTGGGGCTAGTGGTTTGAACATGCTACTTTGCAAATCCCAGCGACTTGACCAGGTAAATGTGGTACATCTTGTAGCCAGAGACAGAGAGTAAGGGATGGTTAATCTTTGCTGCCAACTTGTGGCATAAACTCTAGCTTCTGTGATGTGAAGTGAAGGCCCTGTGATTAGTAAATACTTATTAATAGTGGATAAGTGCCTGTGATAAATCTGAACAAAAATATCTGTGAACTTAAGTACGTGTCACTGTGCCCTCTAGGAAACAAGTCTTACCATCCCTTTACCCTAACACCCATTAATTACTTTGATGTCAAGTGCAGCAAATTTTCTACTGACCTCTGGCATATTCCAGGAGCAGTCACCAGGCCCACTTCCCACTCAGAGTGCTCCTGCGACAGGTAGCAAGCACTGTCCCATACAATAGTGTTTGAAAGACACATGGAATCAGAAATGTAGGTGACCAGACCTGCCAAAAGAAGGGAATGGGATATAGCCATTCCCATCATCTAAAGGATAGAATCCCTTCCTGTTTCCTGTAAGAGGAAATTTCCACCATTGGAAGACCCCAGTGGGATGGAGATGCCTCCATGCTTTCAGATAAGCATTGCAGTGATAGCAATCGGCTATTAAATATTTGTAGAGTGATTTAAGATGATCAGATGAAAGATGTTCTATCAGTGAAAAGATTTATTAGTTTTAATCCAGTGTTTTTGTTTCTGTATTACAGGAGAGTGTAATCAGAAAAGTCAAACCGTCCTTTGTAACATTCATTTGATTTTCCCCTAAGGGACAGCATGTATCACTATTGTATCCTTCCACTCAACAACAAATCCTACCCCGTCAAATTTTGCAGTGCTTTCTCAGGACTAGATCCAACTTGCATTAGCTTCAGTGGAAACTGGCCCTCATTCTTCACTCAGACAAAACTCCCGATGAAGTCAGTGGGAGTTGTCCCGTAAGAAAAACTGTAGGATTACACTCATTTGTAGAAATAATTGTAGAGCTTTTTAATGGTAAAGCCTTTTAATCCAAGATATTGGCTGTAATAACTTTCATGTAATTGTAGGGTTTTTTCATAGATATTTTACTGCTGATATATGGCGTCTTGAATAATTTGAGATGGGGGTTCTAAAATATAGAACCCTATGTAAAAAAATGAAGAGTAACGTCAGTTTGAACCAAAGGATTTGGTTCGAACTAATGCATCCTGGCGCGCACTTCCTGGTTCGAATCAGCTGTTGAGTGGAGTAACGCGCCAGCGAGATCATGCTAATGAAGCGTGGGATATTTAAATCCCCGCCTCATTAGCAATTTCAGTCGCCTATATTTGCATCCCTACCTCGAACTAGGGAGCAAGTGTAGACATATCCTTACTTATGTACAGGGTTCGCCAAGCTCTGCGCAGAATATATATTTAATGATAGATTTTAGTAATTCCTTACAAGATAGGGCATAAAGAACCCAGAGACCCACTTAACAAAATATATCAGGGGCCTAATCCAGCTCCTGTTGAGGTCAGTGGAAATCTTTCCATTGACTTCAGTGAGAGTTGGATTAGACCCTATGTCAGAAAGCATAGCTAGCAGCTTTTTTAAAACTACAGTATTACATACTATGCACACATATGTTAATGTAATCCATCTATATAATCAGACTCATTCATATAGTCATTGGTAGATATAATCCCTGATTCTCCTATATTTATGGATGTGCTTAATTGTACTCCAAGGGGACGATTAGTGTGATTAAAGTTAAGCATGTGCTTAAGTGTTTGAAGATAGGGGCTTGCAGAAAAAAATATGTATATGGACATAAATGTTTCTTTATATTTAGTATAGTCTCCCTCTCCCCCCAAAAAAGATAAAAAGTCTCAGGGTATGTCTACACTACCCCCCTAGTTCGAACTAGGGGGGTAATGTATGCATACCGAACTTGCTAATGAAGCCCGGGATTTGAATTTCCCGGGCTTCATTAGCATAAAGCCGGCCCCTCCCTCCCTCCTTCCCTCCTGGCTAGACATCATACCTCAAACCCCCTCCTGCACTCTCCCTTCTGGCCAGAGATCCTACCCCCAGCCTGCAGCTGCACCCAACCTCCCAGCCAGATCCTGCAGCCCTGCCCTGCACACTGAACTCCTCTTTTTCTCCCTGCACCAGAACCTAAGGGGGTCCATAAAATTCACTAACTCTGCAATCCCAGAAAAGTAAATCTGACCTATGAGAAGCCCTGAACTAGGGATGTTAGGGAGTAGTCGACTACCCAACTAGGGATGTTAGGGTATGTCTACACTACCCCCCTAGTTCGAACTAGGGGGGTAGTGTAGACATACCCTCAGTCACACCTATTTGACCCATTAGAGTAATAATGGGTTATCTTTTGCTTCACAACCTCTTCCACC